GAGGTTATTTTTGAGTTTTTTTTGTCTTTGGGAACGTAATTAACGTTCCTTTTGCTTCTTTTCTTTAGGTGACGCCCTTCCTGGACCTGGATTTCAGCTTGGACTATTAAAGTAAGTTGGGGAAGGGTTTTTTATCTTTTTTTTTTGGATTTAGGAACGTAACTAGCGTTCCTTTTGCTTCTTTCTTTAGGAGGATGCCTCTTGGACCTGGATTTCAGCATGGGTTATAAAGGTAAGTTGGGGGAAAGGTATTTTTGTTTTTTTGTTTTTAAAAATGTAATTAACGTTCCTTTTGCTTCTTTTTTTTAGGAAGACACCTTCTTGGATCTCTAAATCTTAAACTTTTTATAAATATTGTGTCAACTAATTTGTTAAAAATCATTTGTAATAATGTAAAAATAAATACTATATTTATTATTATAAAATTCTAATTGTTAATTAATATTAATAAAAAGTATTAAGTAGAAAAAACTGAATTTAGATTCACCGGATTCACTGGATTGACCAGATTATTCAGATATCCGGTCAACCATTCGGTCAAATTGGTGATCAAGTATTGACCGGATATCCGATGATCCATCCGGTCAATTTGATGAATCATTCGGATCAATCCGAATCCGGTCAAATTTTGGATGGATGACCAGATATCCGGATTGACCGGATTCGGAGCATACCTCTAGTTTGGGAGGATAAGAATTAACTTTAACAATTTTATAATATGCTAATTTTAAATTAAATGTCAAATTTATTATGATTTATTATATTTATTATGATTTATCCAGATTTATTGGGTTTGGGAGGATAAGAATTAACTTTAATTAAAGTTCAAATGCCGAAAATGCCGAAATTAGGCTGAAACTCGGTCTTAATTTTGGCCAAAATTAAAATTCGGCTGAAATTAATGATTTTATCATATGCTAATTTTAAATTAAATGTCAAATTTTTATTGCCATAAATCGGAAATGCCGAATTGTGTAAATTGTCTGATTGTTATAAATCAGAAATGCCGAATTGTGTAAATTTTCTGAATTTTAACTGAATTTAGTTTGATTTTCAGCTGATTTATCACATGTCCGATTTGCCTTATTTCGACTAGTGAGTTTGTTGATGTATTAAGATACTATTGGGATTCTAAAAAAAGAACGTCTTAATTACATGATATGATAAATCCTTATTTCAGAGGAATGAAAAACAATTATATCTACAAATCTCCATGAATAGCTTTTTTATAATGTAACTAGGAAATTTTGTAAAACATCCCATACCATTATGCCTTGATTCCCTGATTTTACTGTGGGAATTAAACAATTTACATCATATTTTCATGTGAACGATACCAGACTCAATGATATTATTGTATTCCACTCAGAATCCCAATCTTTTCTAGTACGACACTATTCTAACCTTTTTTACGATTTGCTTCAGATACTTTCCAACATGACCATAATAACCTTTATTATGTAAAGTACACTCTACAGTACGTGAACTTACTGAAACTAATTGGGTTTTTCTGTGATTTCATATGATTGTTGTCTGTCCTCAACAATTTTTACAAGATGTCTAACATATATCTGTGTTAATTTAGGTGGTCTACTGGACTTGTGAGCATTTGAAACTGCTTTGTATTTTACAATAATATTATGAATAGTTGACTTTAGGATGGTCAGGAATGCCTTTAATATCTCGTTCACTGTGACCACAGACTACCTTTCCAAGGCCAAATATTTCACCTCGTTTAAACTATGATCAGCAAACTACGCCAATTGGCCAATTGAGTAATGATAATCACGTGGTCTAATACTTTTGGCAGGGGTGTGCACATGGTTTTGGACTCTTTACTTGTTCTTTACTGAAATAATGATGCCGGTGCATCAGAAGCGAGCAATCTCTAAAACCAAAATAGACGCAAGGGAAGGATTCAAACTTTCTAACGGATACACAAACGAAAAAAATTTACCAAGTAAAATAGATACACAAAAAAATACTGGTAAAAATGGCGCATGGGAGGATCTCAAAGTTCTTGGCGAACACACAAATGAAAAAAATTCATCAGATATTCCAAATACTAAAAGTGAAAACTTAAATTCTAAAGAATTACTAATTATTATTATTTTGGCATTTGTGATCGTTCCAGACATTAAACATATCATTAGGAACCTCTTAAGACCTAAAAAATTATCATTGATTATTGTGACGTTTTTGGGAGTCTATGTTGCTGTCTCTTATACACATCTAGATGTGTATAAGAGACAGGTTCTTGGCGAACACACAAATGAAAAAAATTCATCAGATATTCCAAATACTAAAAGTGAAAACTTAAATTCTAAAGAATTACTAATTATTATTATTTTGGCATTTGTGATCGTTCCAGACATTAAACATATCATTAGGAACCTCTTAAGACCTAAAAAATTATCATTGATTATTGTGACGTTTTTGGGAGTCTATGTTGTTCGTGATTATATTATATGGCAAGACCATAAAAAGCCTAAAAAGGACTATATTTTTATTTGCATTGTGCACACTATTTTTTGTCGATTCTTACAAGACCAGGAGAGCGCTGAAGAAACATTGAATAATTCTGGTGAGATATTTGAAAGAGATTATACTATTATTAGAATTATTTCATTAAATTTTTTATATCTTACAAGACCAAGAGACCGATAAGAACGAAATATATGAAAATGAGCTGAAAAATTCTGATTCTGGTGAGACATTTGAAATAGTATTTTCCTTTATATAGCCAATATTATTTATTATGAATTGTTTTAGTAAACTGGCTAAAGCCAAAATTTTCATTGCTCATATCAACATATTTTCATTCTTCATCAAAGCAAAAATCGATGAGAATTCTAACCCTAACAATCCAGCCTCAACGTTGGACGATGATAATCGTCCGCCTCTTATTATGTCAAGATATGATCCTAATATAGATTATGAAAGACTTATGTGTGAAGATATTTATGAAGATCTCAAAGGTGATCCATTTATTGAAGAAATGATGAACGGAATTAGAAAAAATTATGGTGAATTGTAGTCAGTAGTAAGAGAATAATAATAAAAAAAAATTTCTCAACAACATACATATAAAGTTCAAAACAAATTTAACAATAATATACCTGTATTAATGCTCGATGCTTCATGTAAAAAAACTTTTGAAAAGAACCAATATTGACAGAAGGATCTCGGTTTAAAGGTCAAAAAAACTTATATATTAAAATATTTAAGAGGCAATGTGTAGCAAGATGTGAGCCTATTTTACAATGTAGTAACAACAACTGTGGTAATCATATGGGCCGATCCTTGGAATCTAATTTTTTTACACAAAAATAATTTTATTAAAGCAAATATAAATTATCATTTATATAAGAATAATAAATTTATACCAGATAATGCAAAAAAAACTAATTAATTATATAATTTTTAATTTTTTTTTAATATAAGATATCATTAAAATTTAAAAGATCAAATATAACTCTCATGACAAAATCATTGATAATTCTTCGTAGAAATAAGCTATACAAATAAGTTTACATTCATTTGAAAGAGAAAATCGAGATCTATCTAATGAATCTAAAATCA